ATTTGAAAATAAGAAGTCTAAAACATAAAATGAAAAATTCAAATAAAATCTTTTGCTCTCAAAACTTTCGTTTTTCAGTGTTTAATTTCTGTTTTGCCTTTTTTTTCTAATTGGTTGCAGCAATAATGGAACAAATTTCACTCCATATGTCATATTGCTGCCCAAATCTGACCTTTAAGTCAAAAATTAAAGTCAAAAATTAACCTAAATTTGTGGTTCTTCATATTAGGTCACTTAATATCACCAAACCCCATCTACAGATCTTTCTTATTGAAGCTGCTGTATTTACGTATATTTTTTCTATCTCTCCTCAGCGAGACTAACCATTAACGTCCTGGACGTTAACGACAACGCTCCTCGTTTCCGGCCCTTCGGAGTCACCAACTTCACCGAGAGGATTTTAGAAGGAGCTCAGCCGGGCACAACGTTGCTGTCAGTGTCGGCTGTAGACCCTGATAAGGGTCCCAATGGTCAGGTCATTTATCAGCTCCTCCACGTCCCGAGAGGCGGATATGTGAGGCTGGAAGACTCTTCTACTGGTGAGGTCACCCATAAGCTGCTGCAGATTTCTTGCAAAGAAAAAACACATCATACATTATCTTTGTGTGTTTTCGTTAAAAAAATAAGTCCAACAGCTTCTGCTGCTTTTTTAGGTAAAATCGTGGCCAATCAGACGGTGGATTTTGAGCAAGTGCAGTGGCTGAATTTCACCATACGGGCTCAGGATCACGGGACGCCTCCAAGGAGCGCCGAGCTTCCAGTTTATTTGAGGATAGTGGACGTCAACGACAACAACCCAGTTTTTCTACAACCCTCCTATCAGGTGACGGAATGGTTTGACCTGCAGACGGCTGCTGGTTACAGAACCTTCCACATAAAACCCTGGAAAGATTTTGGGTTTTTATTTTAGATTGCTTGCTTATATATGAATGAATGAATGAATGAATGAATGAATGAATGAATGAATGAATGAATGAATGGGAATTTATAATAGATATATACCAAATAACAAGAGTTATTGTGCAATAGTGGTATAAGAATTAAC